ATGTGATTTTCTTGATGATATCAATCATGGATTTGGAGTAGCAGTAACAGTTTGTGTTTTAGCCTTGTTTATATTCATACTTGTTGACATATTTACCAGATTGACATTTTTAATTAGCAATAAAAATACATTATTTTCTCGGAATATGATATTTGGTATAATATGGAATTTAATATGCCAATCTTGCTTATCTGCCTTATCATATCATTCGAACAAGTTGACGGAAGAGGTATGAATATTGCAATTGATTCAAAATAATTCACTTTTTTATAATTTATTTATCAACTTTAAGATGAGACAAAGTGTCGAAACTTGTTTTGGAATAATTAATCATGAAAATATCAGTCGTCAATTGAAAGAAAAGCTTGAATCATTCTTTCACGAAATGAGGCATAGGGATGTACGGTTGTTTTGTCACTGGATGTTTCCCTTGGACTACACCCTTTGGAATAAGGTCGGATATAAATCTAAATAAAATTTCTGCTTCATAAAAAATATTGATAAACTAAACTTAATAAAAAATTAAAGCTTAATTCATGCTTATTTGATAATTATAATACTTTATTGTATATATCATATTTTTCAGGCAATTTGTTCTGGTGCGATGTACTTTGTTATTTTACTTCAATTCAGTATGAATATGCAGTAAGACCCTGTTTGACGTCGCCTTGTTCAGCTAATATTTCCCAAATTATGGGTAAAATCGCAGAGCAAATAATGGAAAAGGTGAAACAAATAGTCTTAGAATTTAATATGAAAGATGTCGACAAAAGAGTTAAGAAACAGCAGAAAGTCTTTTTGATAACGATCCAAATTAAGGATTTCAAGGAGGAGCAAGAAGAACCTTCAATGCCTGTAATAGAGATTGACCACTGTGACTGTAATTGAGACCAAAATGACCAATTTCAAAAAAATTCAAATTTTGGCAGAAGTTTAGCAAGATGAGTGTAAAATATATCAATAAAATATATTAGTGTAAACTCGTTTAGCGCTATTTTGCTTTGCTGGATTTTGATGGATGGTTGCTTTCGGGTTAAATATTTCTTCCGTAGATTTTGCAAATTAATATTATTCAAACACATACAATATGTTTTTTATCTAACATATTTTATTTGTTCAAAAAATATAAAAACTATTGTTACAGTAGAATTCCTTTAGTCAGACTCGTTCCGGACCGACCTCTTTGTCGGACTATCGAAAATTCCTGACTCGGGCGGTTATTATAAAAAAAATTAGGTTAATAATTGAACTACAAAATCAATAGGAAGCTTGTTTTTCATTTATTTGATATGTGTTTTTTTAATTTTTATCATTTTTTTAATGTTTACAAAAAACAAAAGTTTTAGGATTTATAGGCGTTCGATGATTTATAGCTTCTGATTGAAAGTTGGTGTTACGTGTTTTCGTTTCTCTCTTTTTGAATACCAAGGCTTAAGTGTTGAAAACATGGTCCCTTCATATTTAGGTGGTTAAATCTACTGATATGTGTATTGTGCAGCTGTAATCAGTAGACTAACTTAAAAAACGACCGAATTCTTTGTAGAACGTAGAGGCTACGTTTTTCGTAGAACATACTTTGTTCATGAACCTAGACACAACCAAATTTACCAAAAACTTCGAACAATAGTGAGTCTTTCCGAATGATTCCGAACATAGATAAACAAGTATAAATTCCGAATGATTCCGAACCACCCCGAAAACGTTCTAACAGTCCTCGAGCGTTTTTATTTGCTATAAAGGCACATTTGTGAAAAAACGAAATTTTAGAAAAAATCGTTGGATTATGAACTGGAGTATATAATTCTGAACCATTTTGAACCATTGTAATAATAACACATGGAATTTATCTGTTACCATATAAACAGCGCCTAATTCACATTATTTTGCTCATTAGTTAATTACTAAAAGCCCAATTAAATAAACAGAATACAGAATACATGAACAGTCGATATACTTCTTAATATATTTAAGCACTTACTCAAATTGATAAACACATTACGTTGAAAAATATTAACCTACTTTCAAAATGTATCGGAAACTTTACACAAAAATAATAAAAATACAAAAAGTTTCAGTTCCAAAATCGGTATTAGAAGTAAACTACCCTATGCTCACTTTGCTATCTAATTTAGGAATATTCAGTTTTAAAGTAGTAAAGCGCAATGACAAAATAGAAATAATCGAGGATAAAAAACGTACAGTGATACCTACTATATTTTTACTTATTCTTACGTATATATTTTTCGATTTTATGGTAAATAAAAGTATTTTTTTTGAGCAATCTGCCGTGAGTGAAAAGATATTTTATGTGATATTCCTTGCTCAATTAGCTTCTGGTATCGCTTCATTAATATCTTTTTTTCCATTCGACAGTGTTTTTTTAAAAACACTTATTAAATTACATTCGGAAATTCAATTAATTGATAAATGTTTGATCGAAACAAACGTGCAAAAAGTTTGGAACGAAATGTATAAATATTTTTTGTGTAAGATGATAATTGGAGTCACCACTATATTAATTTTATTCGCATATTATGCAGTTACAACGGCTGGAGAATTTGGGACAATAACAACGAGCATTAAATTATGGTGTGGTTATTGCCTTCCATTCATTCAAATATTTGCAATGACATTTTTTTATGCAAACATGGTGCATACTTTGAGGAGACGAATTAATTGCATAAACAATATTTTGAATAATTATCTGAATCCACCAATAAGATTTGATATGAACAAAAATTCATTTTTACTTGAAAATTATGAATCCAAGTTGAAAAAAACTATCAAAGCTCATTTAAAGTTATGTGATCTTGTTGAAGATATCAATGTCTTTGGTCTTGCAGTAACTATTTGTATTTTTTCTTTTTTTGTACTTCTTTTGGTTGATATGTTTACTAAAATAATATATATAGCAAGTGTGGAAGTATACATCATTTCTCCTGATTTAATTTTTGGAGCAATTTGGGATTTTTTGTGCCAAACATGCTTATTTATATTGCCTTTTGAATCAGGAAAACTGGCCGATGAAGTTTGTATTTAACTTAGTAACCAATGCTTATATTTATATTTCTTTGAAATGTTGTTGTTTTTCTCATTGTCAGATAAATCAAAGCATTGAATATATTTATGGAATCGTTCAATCTAGCAATATAAGTACATGCATGAGAAAAAGATTAGAATCGTTTTGTTATGAAATTGGACATAGAGATTTGCAACTATCGTGCTATAGAATGTTCAATCTGGATCGCACTATTTGGAACAAGGTTTAGTAATTTATAAAATTAATAGATTAAGACGTTTTTTTGTAATTCGTGGTTACTATACTTACAGAAATGATTTTTCAGTAAAAATGATTTTCTTTTTTTCAGGCGATATGTTCTGGTGCCATGTATTTTGTTATTCTTCTTCAGTTCAACATGAATATTAAATCATCCACCTATTGAAGAGGCAGTGCAACTGCTGAAAAGGTTTGGATAGCAACGGATTTAAATAACTGATCGTTTTGCTGAACAAAATACATAGAGTCGGAGAATGGACAAACAACTTTTTGATTGTGACGATGATTACTCTTCAGCCCGAAGTATACAAAAAGGAAATGGTCAGAATTATCGCTCGATTACACGAAAATAAGATTAAGCAGCACAGGAGTAAAGACAATTTGGATTCACTAAAGAAATGGGCATCGCAAAGCTTTCATAATATTAAGCACCTCATCGAAGTGTCTATCTCAATGATGTCTATGCCTGTTTCCTAGATTGGCAGCAAGCTTTCATTAGGACCAAAAACGTTTATGGGTGAATTGGAAATGATGGATGGCAAATGGAAAGCTCGCGGACTCGCGACAGAAAATGATGGTTTATCTTCACCTGCAATTATTATGCATGTCATTAATCTTACTCAAGGTGTATGAAGAGCGGTAGGTTAACTCTAGAAATATTTTGATTGGAGAAGAAGAATCACAATCAAAAATCATAGAAGATATAAAATAAAGATAAATATAAACCAATCGAATGCAATGACAGAAACGAAGATAGATAAACCTCTAAGGACATTAGTGTAGTTAATTACTACAAGTATCTTTATAGAAGAAAACTGATTCGACCCATGTGGCAGGAGACATCTTCGTTCTTTACATAATTGAATACAAAATGGAAGCACTAAAACTAGCATTTCATTAGATCGAAGACTTATGAAACAAAGAAGAAGAGAATGCACTAGAATTATCTTAGCTTGATAAATACAGTAGAGAAAGAAAAATAAAGCAACGTTGCTATCAGGAGATAAGCTTTATGATTGTGAGCACTGTTGTTTAGTTTGCAAGACCTTAAAGACTTGTAGGTATATAATTGTTTTATAAGATGTATGTATTGTTATTTTTAAGTTAGATTTGATGATTTGATATATGATTTTATATAACCTCTGCAATAGCTTACATGAGAATGAGATAAAAATGACTAACTGAACCTTCTGGCAAAGAACTACAATAGAAAATAGTAAATTTAGTTAAAAATAATAACTTTATAAGAAATAAATTAAATTTGTAGAAAATCCAACTTTGCTAATGAAAATTTCTGACGAAATATCAGATCAAGGTTGCAGCGACACTAGCTCTCCTACTATTGAAAAATAGTAGTAAAGAGCTACACTAGCCTCCACACTATTAGGGACCCTAATGCGTGGAGGGGGTCAGGCTACCAGGTATATAACCAAAGCAGTTACCATCCTCGAGCTCTTTTCTCTTCTACTGGTCGAGCAGGCAACACCTAGATAAACTACGGAGTCCAACCAAGGAATACCAAGAATACCGGCATTCAACCAAGAAGATTTTGTAAATTATTATAATTTTGTAATAAACTTTATTTTTCATTTATAGTGTCTTGATTTTTATATGTGGGACCACCCCACATAATTGGTGACCCCGACGCTGAATTGGACCACATAGCGTGTGAGCTAAAATACAATAGTCGATTATTCGCATAGAAGACAATAAAAAACAAACAATGAATCAAGACATGCAGGACACTAAAGGGGAACTGGACGCAATCTCACGCACTCCGCATCTACCGCCATTTTTGAGTGAGAAACCGACATTGTGGTTCACAATTGCCGAAGCAATATTTTCTCGATGCCGCATCATCAATGACCTGGCTAAATATGAATTTGTAATAGCTCACCTAGATTGCAAATATTTACTCCAGATTGAGGACGTGATAAATTCTCCGCCTGCAGAGAATAAATACATAAAACTAAAGGAGGAATTAATCAAAAGGCTATCAATTTCCGAACGGCAAAGGATAAGGCAATTACTTTTGCAAGAAGAACTTGGTGATCGAAGTCCTTCTCAGTTCCTACGTCACCTTCGTTCATTGGTCGGAACAACTACAGTCGACAATTCACTCCTACGAGAAATCTGGATTCAACGACTACCGGTACAGACTCAACAAATATTGCAAACCCAGATCAATGCAGACCTAGAAGAACTTGCATCGCTCGCCGACAAAATATGTGAGATTGCACAACCACCAGTAGTCGCAGCAACTAGTAACAACCAACAGCAAGACATCATACAAAAACTAATTGATAAAAATGATCAACTAACACAGCGTGTGGGAGATCTTACAGAGCAATTAGCCAAGTTAACCTATCGTAGCAGACTCAACCTATCAGCAAATAGAAACTGTAGCCATTTCGACAAGACAGGTCTAACCACTTCTTCAGGCCGAGAAGTACTTCTAGATCGCGCAACCGAAAAACATTCTGTTGGTACCACGCCAAATTCGGAAAGAAGGCAAGAAAATGCGAGAGTCATTGTTCGTTCAGAGAGGAAAACTCCAACGGCAAGGAGTGATGGCGACCTATCCTTGCTCTTCATCAAGCCGTCGCCTCTTCATAAGTGATCGCAGAACTAAGGTACAGTTTTTGGTCGACACAGGTTCAGACGTTTGCGTGTATCCAAGGCGCTTAACTGCTAAACCTAATCCTCAACTAAACTATACTTTGTCTGCAGCCAATGGAACCAACATACGCACGTACGGGGATATTATTTTGCAATTAGATTTTGGACTAAGAAGAAATTTTACTTGGAGATTCATCGTAGCAGACGTAACAATGCCTATACTTGGAGCAGACTTTTTGGCGTACTACAATATCATTATCGATATAAAGAATTCTCGTCTACATGACAACCTGACATCACTGTCATCTCCAGGATGTGTCACATTCTCTCGGATACAAAGTGTCAAGTCTATATTTGGAGATAGTGCTTACAATAAATTATTAGCTGATTTTCCATCCATCACCAGACCATCAGGCTTGTGTCAAGAAAACAAACACAAAACATTTCATTATATCAGAACCACTCCAGGACCTCCAGTTTCTTCTAGACCACGGCGCCTCAAGCCAGAATTACTTCGCGTAGCCAAAGAAGAATTCAAGAATATGGTAGAATTAGGCATTGCAAGACCCTCCGATAGTTCTTGGTCTTCACCTTTACATCTCACACAGAAAAAGGATTCGACGTGGCGTCCATGCGGAGATTATCGGCTACTCAACTCACGCACAATTCCAGACAAATATCCCGTTCGTCATATTGCGGACTACGCCCATAATTTAGCAGGATGTACTATATTTTCAGTGATCGACTTAGTGAAAGCCTTTCAGCAGATTCCAGTTCATCCTGATGATATTGCAAAAACAGCAATAATAACACCATTTGGGCTGTTTGAGTTCCCGTATATGACTTTTGGACTAAGGAATGCAGCACAAACATTTCAGCGATTTATAGATGAGGTTACACAAGGTCTGGATTTTTGTTACGCATACCTAGATGATATTCTTATATCATCTACATCGCTAGAAGAACACCAAGATCATCTCCGCCAATTATTTCAACGCCTGAAAGACCACGGCGTTGTCATTAATCCAGCGAAATGCGTATTAGGTGCACCCAAAGTTACATTTCTTGGTTATGAAATTTCTAAAGATGGAACTTTGCCACCACAAGACCGTATCAACGATCTCCAGAATATCCGCTACCGGCAACCTACTCAAAGCTGCGACGCTTCATAGGAATGATTAATTACTATCGAAGGTTTATTCCTCACATAGCTGAATTTCTTGCTCCGCTACACAAGCTGCTCTCAGGATCTACCAAATCTGGATCACAACCAATTTCTTGGACCCCACAGCTTCAAGATAACTTTGAGACTTGTAAGAAAGAATTGGCTAAAGCAACATTACTAGCACACCCAGTTCCAAATGCTCAAACAGCATTATTTAGCGATGTATCTAACCATTCTATCGGTGCAGTATTACAGCAGTACATCAATGGCACTTGGCAACCTTTGGGCTTCTTTTCAAAAAAACTATCTGAGAAACAACAACTATGGCCAGCATATTATCGAGAACTTTTGGCTGGATACGAAGCAGTGCAACATTTTCGAAGCTTACTGGAAGGCAGACATTTCATTTGTTACTGACCACAAACCTTTAATTCACGCCTTTTCCCAACGAAAGGACAAGCTGCCGCCAATACAATTAAATCAATTAAGTTTTCTGTCGCAGTTTACAACAGATGTTCGCTATGTTAGTGGACAACAAAACATTGTAGCCGACGCCTTCTCAAGAGCAGAAGCCATAACATCGCCTTTGGATCACTCCGTTATTGCTAAATCGCAAGACGAAGATGAAGAACTGATAACGCTCTTAAAATCAGATACTGCTCTCAACCTGAAACGCATCGCTATTCCAGGAACCAAAGAACAATTATATTGCGACATATCTCAAAATCGATTACGTCCTTATGTTCCTGCTGAACATAGACGACATATTTTTAATACTCTGCACAATCTATCTCATCCAGGTATAAAAACCACAACTAAACTCATCACGGGTAGATTTGTTTGGCCTGGCATTCGCAAGGATTGTAGAACCTGGGCTCGAAGCTGCATCTCATGTCAACGCTCCAAAATTGGTCGGCATATAGTCACACCACTTGGAGAGTTCAAAGTGCCACCCGCCAGATTTCTGCATGTTCACATTGACATTGTCGGACCACTTCCACAATCAAAAGGCTTTAAATACCTATTCACCGCTATAGACCGTTACACACGCTGGCTTGAAGTTTTTCCTCTATCAGATATTACCGCAGAAAGTGTAACCTGGGCTTTCCTGTATTCTTGGATTTCACGCTTTGGTGTTCCATCTCAAGTAACAAGCGACCAAGGACGGCAATTCTGTTCAGCTGTTTTTCAAGGAGTAACCAAACTACTAGGAATTTCCCACATTCCTACTACAGCATATCACCCGCAATCGAATGGATTGATTGAAAATGCTCACAGGCCACTGAAAACAGCCCTCATGTGCCATGCAGACCCGTCATGGATGGATTCTCTACCAATTATTTTATTAGGAATTCGAGCTTCTGTTAAAGAAGACATTAAAAGCAGCAGCGCCGAATTAGTATATGGAGAGCCGCTTCGTCTACCTGGCGAATTTTTAATCAGCACACGCAAGGAGATACCAACAAGCGATTCTTGAGAAATCTACATCGACATTTCGACACAATACATCCAACTCCTACATC